TATATTAATTTAAGTACATTGGTAAAATATATATCAACATGAGCTTGCAAGCTCCTTACCGTCAGTGCAATAATTAGAAAAACGGTTCTTAATGAGAGGTGCTAGCTTAACAAGTGACAAGTGATGAGACCAGGGCAGCTAGGTACCCCAAGTGTATGTACTAATATTACTAAAACTAAATCATACACACTATATTTTAACATTGTACAAGATGACACTAAACGTAAAACCCATAGCAGCTAGTAACGGCAACTGATGTATACATACGAGAACACGCGAATACTAAAACTGTAACATAAATCATAACCATGCACACAGGGATGCTAAAATTACGAGTCGATTATACGAAAAAATTCTACGGGGAATACGTTGATGTAGTGCTGACTGATTATATACGTGTATAGAACAATTACCGCAAATAAAATGCAAATGAGATATGTAGACATGTATGTACAAGGATCAGTCGCAAAAGTACTGCAAGTAGCAGACATTACAGAGAAAGTTGCGAGAAGAATACAGGAGCAGCTAAGTTGATGATTCACATAGAAGCACAGCCTAGTTTATTGCGTGTGTGTGTGTGTGTGTGTGTGTGTGTGTGTGTGTGTGTGATTGTGTGTGTGTGTGTGCACGTGCGTGCGTGCGTGCGTGCGTGCGTGTGTGTGTTGGGGGGGGGGGGGTAGCAGCGGCACATCGCATATCTGCGGGATGGACCTGACCACGACCTTAGGAGCCTTTTAACGATTTTGAAGTCTGTAGCCTGATGGATGTTGAGGCGTAGTTGATTCCATAGCCAAACGCCATGATACCAAAAAGATTTCTTGCCGTGAGCTATTGATCTATGGTCGGGAAGCACTTTCCGAAGGTTGTAAGGGGTGAATGAGTATTTGAAAAGACTTTGTATAGGTTGGGCTTTGCCCATGTCTAGCATTGTACAACAAAACAGAGCGCTCTTCTCTGTATTTGTTCGAGTTTGCTCATGTTTTCCCGTGTAGTCACTGTAGTGTAGTGCCAAACGGCGGGGCAGTAGTTGAAATTGCTACGGCAGTAGGATTTGTATATTTGAAGTCTGGGTTTGTAATTCAGAGGATTTAGCTGGCGTGATGCCTTGATGCAAATGTTCCTGATGTGTTTGTCGAGTGTGACATATATATATATATATATATATATATATATATATATATATATATATAGGCGAAGAGATAGAAAGAGAGTGTACACGTGTGGGTGTGTGGAAGCTAGTGCGCGCATGCGTGCGTTTGTGAATGTTTTAGAAGAGTGATGAATGAGAGAGAGAGAGAGAGAGAGAGAGAGAGAGAGAGAGAGAGAGAGAGAGAGAGAGAGAGAGAGAGAGGGGGAGAAAGAGAGAAAGGGAAGAGGAAGAGTCGTTTCTCACTGCTGTGCTTTCATTTCCCCCTGGATCGCTTATATGTGTAATAACGACCACCTTTCTTCGAAACCCACCTTACCGAGAACAATCTTCTGTCGCACACTATCCAGGTCGATTGTTGCAAGTCTAGCCGCCGAACAAGCCACATACATGTAATACCACCGATCTCTAAATATATTATACTAACACAGATATTGTATTATATAGAGTTATATAATTATATAGTTAGTATATAGAGATCAGCATATACTACAGCTGCAGCGTTATATGGTCAGTTCTTCTCAACACCAGCAATAACGCTGTGCAGCAGTATGCCACTGAAATGCATTTATTTCAGGACGCACACATTTACTATAGCATCATACGGCGTACTAGTATCACATGTCCTCTGGCTTGGGTTACAAGCGATTGCTTTGTGCATCATATGTACGCGGATTAGCCGCGAGAAGATCTGCCTGCCCCGCGGTGCTACTGCTCCTCCTACTGCTGCTGCTGCTGCTCCTCCTCTTCCGCCTCCTCCTGCTGCTGCTGCTGCTGCTGCTGCTACTGCTGCTGCTGCTCCACCTTCTCCTCCTGCTGCTGCTGCTGCTGCTGCTGCTACTGCTGCTGCTGCTCCACCTTCTTCTCCTGCTGCTGCTGCTGCTGCTGCTGCTGCTGCTGCTGCTGCTGCTGCTGCTGCTGCGGTTGTTGTTGCTGCTGCTGCTCTTCCACCTCCTCCTCCTCCTGCTGCTACTGCTGCTGTTACTGCTGCTGCTGCTACTGCTGCTGTTGTTGTTATTACAGCACACACAATCCATCACAATACACGACGTTATACTACGTACAATACATGACATGACAAGACATTATTATACAATACAACACATTACGATTAGACAACTTTATATACATTACAAGGCATGATGATATATGATATTTACAATACATGATGTGATCAGATGATTACAACACATACAAACCATACAATACCCGACATAATACTACCTACAATGACGATATATTACGTTACAATACATGCCATGATATGAAATTATACTACATATGACATTACAAGACATGATGATATATGATATTTACAATACATAACGTGATATGACATTACAAAACATTACGTAACGTTACATTACTTTACAATACAATACAATACTGTATACATAAGACAGTGCTCGATTCATCTATTTCGAATTGCTTAAACATTTATTTACATTCATCTTACACAACGAGCAACTATTTTGTCAAAATATGATATAGCTAATTCAAAAAGACCTACTAGAGAATTATTAGAGCAAATATATGATATAAGTTCCTTAAATCTTATGTATGAAACACCAGATATACTATATTATACAATGCTGTACAAAATAAATACAATATAGATATAATATAATTTGATATTTACATGCATACCTTACTTATATAAAATGATATATAATCTGTTGCTGCTGCTACTGCTGCTGCTGCCATTGCCACTGCTGCTGATGCTGCCACCACCGCCACTGCCACTACAGCTGCTGAAGCTGAAAAATCATGGTACCCACGTAATCAATCCCACCAGCATCTTCTGTAGCACACCACATGCACACACATACAGCCCGTAACCTCAAATGAATTACCTCTTGATGTAATGTAATGAAACCGTGTTTGCATTTACTCTCTTCATCCTCAGCTGTAATTATCACCATGGCAACTATGCACAACTGTTATACGGTTGCTGTACATTGGTCGGCCCAAGGCTGACTATGTAGCTGGTTAAATAAGAAATTCTGCACGTAAGGTGACGTTTGGAATGTAGACTAGATAACTAGAAACCTACGTCGAGGACAAATAACCACGTAAACGTGATTGATTTAATTTGCTCGTGTCATGTTCTCACCATGAACGCAATTCGCTTCATTTCAAAACGTGGAACGTTGCATTTCAATTTGATTCCATTTACGTGACACATCTCCGGCTTCGCAAGTATTATAAGTTCGGCATTGTTTTTTGATTACAGGTGCTGGAGAATCGGGAAAGAGTACCATCGTGAAACAAATGAAGTAAGTATTTGCATTTAGCACGATTACCTTATTACATGTTGGAATACGAAAGCATGCATACAATATCAATCAATCAATCAATCAATGTTTCTCACCGGGGCAGTTGACGGTCATCATCGTACCCCCCCTCTCTCTCTGTCGCGTGAGTTGCTTGCTATCAAGAGTGTATTACGCTCATTATCTCAGCGTAGGGGCATCGTAGGGACAAGCGGTCTGTTTTATATTATTAGCAAGGTAGGACAGCTGATCAATAATACCGCAAAGAATCGTCAAAATAAAACGGGCAAAGTTTCGACTAATACTGCAACATGGTTTCAGCATTTCACTGTTGTACGCTCTCCTTCTTAATACGCTCTTGTTGCTATATATATACTGTCGCTGCTCGGGTCTGGCAGAGTATATGAACGAGTCACGCTATACAATGTACACTCAGGGGCAGGCTTCTGGAGAGACACATTATATGTAACGCAGTGACGGTATGTCACATGCGGGCTCTAGTACGTCAGCCGTGCTGACAAGTGGTTCCGAACTGGCTAGGCCTGACATATTAACGAGTCGGCGAGAAGTGTAGAAAAATGGGGTTATAGAGAGAGGGAGAGAGAGAGGGAGAGAGAGAGTAAGAGAGAGAGCGAGAGAGAGAGCGAGAGAGAGAGAGAGAGAGAGGGGGGGGGGAGAGAGGAGTTCGGCTTGAGCTAGTGCGGCGGCATCACACCTGTCATGTTCCCGCATACCTAATAAAGCTACCTTATTATATATATATATATATCAAGAGTGGATAATAGAGAAGAGTATGTCAGGGTTTTAACAGCGTTTTGCATAGTTTTGAACTGGTAACTAATCTATCAATATGTGAATAAATATATTCAAACTTTACCTTGTTTTCGTCTATGATTCT